AAAACAGAATGCTTGTATGGGGGCAGAGTGATTTTAAGTGTATGGAGGTGTTTAGCCTCATGATCTTGTGGCTGACCGGGAGCTGTCGGCTGCCACCACCCAACATCAGGAGAGAGGATTGCTCAGCACATAGCCCGGAAAAAGATCAAATTCAAATTTTAAGCTCAGTTTCTACTCTTTGGCACCACCATAGTCCAAAAATTGGAAGCTGAACCCCGGTAAGTCAGCAGACTGTAAATTTCATTAAAAATTATGTGTCAAGTCTGTGGTTTTTGCTAAGCTTTGCGTGTTTAATTAAATCACGTTTAGGTGATTTTCATATTTAAGGTCCTTCCTCTACTTTTTCCTTTTTATAGGGCTTAGTCAACATTTTTCTCAATGTTGTTGTGTTTACGCTTCCAGATCCAGCAGTTAAACTTGACACACCTCTATATTTTGCACATCATCTCTTTTCTTCTAATGAGGATAAAACAACCCAATATGAAAGCAATGTATACTAGTTCAATTAAAATGTTACAGTAGTTGCAAACTGGGAAAAAAAAAAAAGTCGGATAATTTCCTTTCCAAAAACTACCCTGCTCATTCATAAATGAGACTCAGTTGAGTCTTGACACTTTGCTGACCCAGATAAAACATTGTAGGTTCCTCGCAACTAACTGCACATCCTATTAATATACAATTAAACTGTACAGTCGTAACATCCCGATATTATATGCATTAAATTGACCATATATGGGAAAGTTTAATGAGATGCCCAAAGCCTGCTACGTAATTTGCAGGGCCCAGTGCAAAATGAAAATGTGGCACCCTACCTGGCCATGGGTAAGTCAGTCCCCCCTTTCCAAGAGCCCACCACCTCAATCCAAGGGGAGAGGTGACCCCCGATGGAGTGTGCCAGCAGTCATGGGGCAGGAACAGAAATGGGGAAGCCAAGTGACCCAGGGCGCCAAGTGGTGGTAGGGAGTAGGCGACAAAGAACCTGTCTCAGGGAAGCAGAGAGACAATGGGAGGCAGGATCACGCCTGACCCCAGGCTCCAAGCTCTCAGTGCCTGCTCCATTGTCTCATCTGACTTCACGTTCATCACACAAAGACAAAATTAAGAATTTCGAGATGGTGACCACAAGAAGCTAAATTTGAAGCATGGGATCATTCTGAATGGGAGTCCCTGAGCAACTGCCCTGGTGGCATCACCATGAAGCTGGTCCTGGAGATGCCAGTGAGCAAAATGAGCAGGTAACCCAGTCCTGGCCAGCACCCCGCACCACACGGCCAGTCCTCGCCTGGCTGCGGGGTGTGCTGCAGGATGCCGAGCATCTGATGTACTCTCGTAATCTATTTTTTTATCTTTCTTTCTTTCCGGTCATGACCCATGTGTCATGTCTGAGTGCTCCTCTCTTCCAAGGCCTGTCCTCCTGAGGTGGGAAGTGTCAGGGAGACAGCCAATACGGCAGCAGGAATGTGCCAGCAATCAGATGGCCCTGGCCATCCCCTCTAACATTCCATACCTTTGGTACCTCCCTTCGTCTCTCTGGGCCTCTGCCTCCTTGCTATGCAATTTCTCATGTTATACTATTGGCTTCCTACTTATTAATTATTAATGAGAGGGTGAGACTAGGTGACCTCTAACATTCCCTCCAGGTCTGTTTCTGGAAGAAAGAGACAACACAAATCGGTGTTTGGCAAAAGGCGTTTGGCCTCTTGACTGTTTTGTCTTCATTTTTATTGGACTTGTTATAATCAATATAGTCTGATTCATCAAAGCCACATTTGAACTGTTTGGTGAGATGTCGTTGCTGCATAAAAGCCAAAAGAAAGGAGATGTGAGTAATGTGGATGTGTGTAGGCAAAGAAGGCCCTCGTTTCCTTAAGGCCTGGCAGCAGATGGGTTAATTCCATGACCCCAGATTTTAGAATGGCAATAATTAGTACCTGAGACAAGCTCTTTTATCTAAGATGCTCAAAGGGCTTTGTGGTCATTAACCCATTAATTCACCTGCCTCAAGCCATCAGGAGCTCAAGAAGAATCTTAGAAGACAAGCATGCTGGAAATGGAAACATCACCACAGTGAGGAGTGGCCATGAGTAACTAGCTGGGAGGGGGTGGGGGGGAAAGGGAAGGGTCACCAGAACAGTTCTCTTGGAAGAATTAAATGGGGAATCCTCTGCTGTTCTACAGACAGCAATGTAACTACTCACGAGGCTCTCTGAGTGAGTTCTCATGGATGTCCCATTTCATCATCTGGAAAAATCTCTTTACCCTTAAAGTAAACTTTAGATTAGCTTTTACAGTTTCCGACAAACCACAATTATGCCTAAAGCAAGTAAAGGAGAGGACTCTCCTCCCTGGAATATTCTTCTCTCAAAGGCTGGGGGGGAGGGGGGGATGGCTCTTTAAAGCTGAAGAGTCTCTAAAGATAGAGCACCACTTCAGAATGAATTTGTCTGGGGTTTGTTAAGGTCCTGACTTGTTTGCTGGTAGTTTCCATTAAAAAGCTTCTGCTGGAAAACCACACTGCTAAGACCTGCCTTCACAAGGTCAGGAATTCTATCATTAGACTCTCCCAGCTGAACAATCCACCCATCACCTAGGATGGCCAGGTGCTATGGGGGCATAAAATGTGGAGACTGACCCCCCACCAAGCAGCTATAACTCTAATCAAGGGGGTGAGGCCAATACAAAGAAAATAAATTAATACATTTATTATTTATTACTATTTTGAATTCATTGATTATTTTATTTATTGAAAATCGATTGATGCAAATAAAATGGACCGAAAGTATGGTTTCCACTAATTGTGAAGAGCACAGACCCAACCCCAGCATGCCTTGGAGTTCATGGTAGGAGGTAAGTGGTGAGGGCTCCAGGGATTAAGGGAGTCAGGGAAGCTCACAGAGGAAATAAGAGATAAATCTTAGAGGTAGGGAAAGTATTTGGTTAGGGAACAGGATCAGCGGAAATAAAGCAAAAGGCAATTCAGGTCATGGACAACATCTAAGAGAAGGCAATCAGACCGGAGTTTGTTTCTTTATGCACAGTGGGAAAACCAACCTGGATAAACCATAGGGCTAGGAGACCTGAAAGAAATACAGTTGGATGAGAAAGATAGGGCCAGATCGCAGAGTGACTGGAAACCAAACTAACAAGTACTGACTTGGGGTCTTTGGAAGTCCTCTATCAAAATGCAAATACCCAGTGAAAGAACCAAGGAGTAAACTGGGGGGTGTAGAGGTGCGCTCAGTATAGGCTGGACACTACTAATGTGTTCCATTATACACTGTCACAGGAGAAAAGGGATTTGTTACACCAATATTGGCCGGTAAATTCAACTATGAGTTCCATCTTTGGCCTTGGGATGCCCTGATGGAATGAAACCCAGAACAGGTGTCTTCTGATAGGAATGAGGAGACGAAGGACAACAGGAAATTGTACCAAAGGCTTCGGCATTACCAGAAAGAGCTGGTCAAGGTAGGGGCCCACACTTGTTGGACAGCCAAAGCCTGAGGAAAGACTTACACTGGATAGGGAAGAGTCGTAGAGAAGACAAATTTCCCCTAATTCACAATTTTGCCAACCGCTGGCCCTTTTAATGCACATAACCCTTCTTTAGGGCCCAGTAAAACTCTTATTCATTAAATGGATACTATTTTGGATCTCACAACCAAAATCAGGATGTGGGGAAGAATCCAGATGGCTCTTTAGGGAGGAGGTCAGACGGAGAGTGAAGTGTCCTCACGTAAGGCCAACTGAAGGCCTCTTGCAGCTTCCTAAACACAGTGGAGTATATGGGGAGGAAGCCGTCTTTTCCTAAAGTCACCTTCAGGACCCCCTAAGGCCAAGGTGCCTCAAGTTAGCAATAGCATAGAAAATAATTGTTCTCGGGGCGCCTGGGTGGCTCAGTCAGTTGAGCGGCCGACTTCGGCTCAGGTCATGATCTCGCGGTCCGTGAGTTCGAGCCCCGCGTCGGGCTCTCAGAGCCTGGAGCCTGTTTCAGATTCTGTGTCTCCCTCTCTCTGACCCTCCCCCGTTCATGCTCTGTCTCTCTCTGTCTCAAAAACAAATAAACGTTAAAAAAAAAAAAAAGAAAAGAATTGTTCTCACCAAAGAAAGCTCTGGAGAAAAGTTGCCGTGAAACTGGAATAGGTGTGTCCTTCCGGTTCTTTTTATAGGCACTGCAGGAACCTGAGTGAGGGCCTTCCGCCCATTTGGGGAGAGATTAAAGAAGCTGCGATTGTCTCCTTCTTACTCATTGGCAGTTACAACCTCGCAGCCACTACCACCTCAGCTTCCAGCGTGGACACAGAGAAGGTAAGTGGGAACGAAGGGGCCATGTCCTTAGCTATAAACCAGGATTGCTCCAGCCATCTGGCTTGGGAATAACTGAAGGGGAATAGAGCTAGAAGTATCCAATTGCCAAGTACTTTTTTCCTAAAGAATGTGTGGAATTTTTTTTTCTTGGGCAGCCTCAGTGACGACATAGATGTTGGTGCTCAATGGTCCCAAAAGGTAGTTGAAGCAGGGACCATTTTGCATAATTCTTTGATGAACAAATAGTAGGTATTTAGCAATAACATGTTCTGTTGGATTGACTTACGTTAAAAGAAGGAACGGCCATTAGAATTACTAGGAAGAATAATCTGCCTGTCTCCCTCAAGCAGTGCATCAGTGTCTCGAATGATCCGATGATCAATTAACGTTGACAGCACTCATTCTGGAGTCCGACCTAACTGGAATCTCATCAACCATGCAACCTTTGTCACATACCCTATTTTGTGAAAATGATCCTGCCTCGGGTTTCAAAAAGGCTTGGTGGAAACTGACGTGAAAATGGATGAAGCATCGGGAAGTAGACATTGTTCTGCTTTTCCCAGCAGAATGGAGCCAGGCGAGATTTCAGGGTTTGATAGTTTGGGGACGTTGTATCCAGTATGTCCAGGTGTCTTCTTTTGGGAATGAGAGACCTTATAGTGCCCAAACAGGACTACCCAATGGGCGCTCTTATGGGCGGATGTAGTCAGAAATTTGTCTCATCTTTCTTCCGCAGGGAAACAGAAGTCCATTCTCGTGAGGTCCGCCTACAAGTCACCATGTATGAGGACTGCGTCAAGTCCACTGAGGACTATTATTTCCTCTGTGACAATGAGGGGCCATGGAGCACTGTTCTAGAGTCCCTGGCAATAATTGGCATAGTAGTTACGATTATCCTACTCTTGGCGTTTCTCTTCCTCATGCGAAGGGTTCAAGACTGCAGCCAGTGGAATGTCCTTCCCACTCAGTTCCTCTTCCTCCTGGGTGTGTTGGGACTCTTTAGCCTCACGTTTGCCTTCATCACTCAGTTCAATCAGCAAACTGCCCCTGTACGCTACTTTCTCTTTGGGGTTCTCTTTGCTCTCTGTTTCTCATGCCTCTTGGCTCATGCCTCCAACCTGGTGAAGCTGGTCCGGGGCAGAGTCTCCTTCTCTTGGACAACAATTCTGTGCATTGCTATTGGTGTCAGCTTGCTGCAGATAATCATTGCCACTGAGTATGTGACTCTCATGATGACCAGGGGTATGATGTTCATGCATATGACACCCTGTCAGCTCAACGTGGACTTTGTTGTGCTCCTGGTCTATGTCCTCTTCCTGATGGCCCTCACATTCTTCGTCTCCAAAGCCACTTTCTGTGGCCCATGTGAGAACTGGAAGCAACATGGAAGGCTCATCTTCGTCACTGTGCTCATCTCCATCATTATCTGGGTAGTGTGGATCTCCATGCTCCTGAGAGGCAACCCACAGTTCCAGCGGCAGCCCCAGTGGGATGACCCTGTCATCTGTATTGCCCTGGTCACCAATGCATGGGTCTTCCTGCTGCTGTACATCATACCCGAGCTCTGCATTCTCTACAGATCGAGCAAGCAGACTTGCCCTTTACCAGGCAATGCCTGCCCAGCCCCAGCCTACCAATGCAGCTTCAGAGTGGAGAACCAGGAACTCTCACGAGGTACTTTCCCAGGGGTTTCAGGGAGTAGGGAGGCTTTCCTGTGGGAAAAACAGGAGAGAAATTGAGAAATAGGATGAACCAAGAGGGAACAATTTAGATGGGTGACTTACTATTTCCAAAAAGGAGGTAAAGATACCTGGAATCAAGGTTAGACTTTTACGAAAAATCAGTTCTTCCAAAATACAGAGATTTATGGGGGAGAGGCCAAGACAGAAATGAATCAAAGGCCCTAAATAAAGAGGGTGTGACTGAGTGCTCACGCCGGGTAAAGAAAGGCACCCACTATAAAGTGAGTTAACTAGCACCAAATTAGGCTTGGACCATGCAGCTGCATGGCATATGATGCTAAGTCCAGACGTTTGGGCCATCAGATGCAAAAGTCAATCCAGGTAACATGTGATTGACATTTTTAAAAATTTAAGTCTTGAAGCTAATTTGCCCAAACATCATAATAAACTGATTCATAGGACTCATCACTTCATTAACGTCACAAAGCCCAATAACTTCTAAATCTCTACTTTTCAAACCATTCACTGCTTGAAAGCCTTCAAAGTTTGCAAAAAGTGACCGGAAGAGCCATCGAATCAGAATTCTAATAAAGGCTCAGATATGTAATCATTAACAGAAATAAAGCAACTTGCTTATGTGACATTTTCAAAAAATTTCTGGTCAGATTTTGTTTTTATCTTTATGTAAGACCAAGCCACCTGTCTATACTTGGTTAATGAATAAAATAGATTAACCATGACAACAAAAATGCTTGGACCCTAACAACCTGGGAGATAGTGGCTAATTTTGGTTGTCTAGAAATATGTCAAACCCCATTCATTCCCTTCTGAAACATCTGGCCTATTATTCATAACCCAATATCATAGTTTTACATCAATTTTTGTGTCTTAATAGGCATCTGATTCCTCACAATTTATTTCTAATGTGCAAAATGATGTTATTTTAAATGTATATCACACATAATGTTCACCAGGCTCAAAAAAATTAATAGAAGCCTTCCCTTTAAGTGCATACACTTTTTTGAGCTGTCATCTATGGCTAATTACACATTCAAATTAAATCCTGTTCAGAGAGATGCAGCCATTCATTCTTTTCAGTTCAGTTGACCGAGAGTAGGAAATTGATGCTATACATCCTTCCTTTAACAGTTTTTCCTTGCTTGTTGATGGTGCGTCGTCAGATCACTAAGGTTTATGGCAGAATTGCAGAGTCAATCCCTGAAACTACGTTTTGTAGTTCTCACCAGAAGATTAGATAAAATTTCTTGTGTTGTTTTATTGTCGTTGTATATTTCCAAGAAACAAAAGCCGAGAGAAAGAGAGAGAGGGGTTCTTAGAATTGTATAATACCCCATACATACTGGGACTTGTAATGATCAAGAGTCCATACCCCAAAACACAAGTGTTTTAAGTGTTCTAAGGAGGGTTTGGTGAAAGACCAAGGGCTTGGTACTATCCTTGTTACTCGAGCATGGTTAGAAAATCCATTTCTGAGCAGGAAATGCCTGCCAGTGACAGTCACTGTCAAAGCAGTTTGGTGTTTTGTTTGTTTTTATTGTAGACAGAGAGAGAGCATGAGTGGGAGAGAGGGGCAAAGGGAAAGAGGGAGAGAGAGAGAGAGAGAGAGAGAGTCTTAAGCAGGCTCCACGCTCAGCTCAGAGCCCAACACAGGGCTTGATCCCACGACCCCAGGATCATGACCTGAGTCGAAATCAAGAATCAGACACTCAACCAACTGAGCCACTCAGGTGCCCCCAGTTTGATGTTGTGTTAAAAAAAATAATAATAATAAATCAGTAGTGTAGCAAAGGACATACAGATTGCTCTCCACATTGGTCAGAATAACCAGAAACTTAAACTGGGACAACAGAATCAGAATCTAGGTCACCTGGGAAAAATTACAAATATCAAAACTTAGAAGAATAATTAAAACTCAGTACAAAATAGAGGATTCCACCAAGCTCAGGAAAACATACCAGTAGACACAAAATAGATAAGAGCCAGACTAGAAGAGTACGATAACAAGAACTTGAGAAACCCTACGTACGTATTATAGGTCACAAGCTAGCAATAGGCAAGCAGCTTACCACTGCCTTTGTTTTCCTTTGCTCAAGAAACACAGTGCTATATAAACAGACGTGTGGTCAGCAAGAACAATCAGGCTGTTGTGCTGGGCGTCAGTCAGCCAGTCGCCAACAAGAATACCCATTCCAGTCCTGGGATCCACCAATGAGAAGTGTGGGGGACTTGGGGAGGCTGAGGGAAAACCACAAAGACAGTTAAAGGGTTATAACATCAGACCCATGTGGAAAGGTTAATACAATGGAATAGACAGTAGTTCTTAAGGTGCCTTCCTCACAGACCATGCCAGTTCTCTCTCTAAATTCTGTATACCGAAACATGACATTTTGTGTGAGCCCATGAGGCATGCGTTTGTCATGAGACTCTTCTGATTAATACTGCCTGTAGCTGTGACTCCAGTCACATAATTATTTGATTGACCACTGGGTTGTGAGATGAGAATTATTCATCTGAAAGAAGAGAAAGACAAGAGGAGATTAGCAGGGAATTTCACAAGTATGAAGACCTCTCTCCAAGAGGCTGTTGTCCTGTTTTCTGTCTCCAACTAAAGACAATCTGTAGAAGTGAACTCAAACCAAAGCACAAAGGATTTAGATTGACTGTGAAAATAAGAGTAAACACTGAAATAGATCAGCAAAGGGGATTAAGGACTCTATTTCCCTGGGATTCTTTCAAAAGAAGATTAGGCTTTATGTCTCTGAAGTGGCTTATGAACTTAATTCCGAGATCTAAAAACATCCGGGTGGAGAATAAAAATGCACTCAAGCATGTTCCCACAGGACACCAAACAAATGGTTATAAATATTCTTTGCCCTCTATTATAAATGCATTCCTAGAAGGCTGTATATTGATTATATTTTTTAAACCAGTTGTCCTTTTAACTGAGATTTTTTTTTTTAACGTTTATTCATTATTGAGAGACAGAGGGAGACAGAGCATGAGCATGGGAGGGGCAGAGAGAGGGGGAGACACAAAATCCCAAGCAGGCTCCAGGCCGAGCTGTCAGCACAGAGCTTGATGCGGAGCTTGAACTCACAAACCACGAGATCATGACCTGAGCCGAAGTCAGACACTTAACCAACTGAGCCACCCAGGCGCCCCCTTTTAACCGAGAATTTTAAATGCAATATAATTTGTGGAGATCTTAAATATAGAATATCAGCCATCAAAATTTTTTTGTGAAGGGAAATCTCCTATTCTAAATATTGCTTACTTCATCTGCCCTAGTTTACTTAAGGTATTGTTATATCAAGTTTGCTATAAGCAAGGCCCATGTATATATATATATTTTTTTTTTAAACATTTATTTACTTTGAGAGAGAGAGAGGGTGCACACATGCACACGAGCATGAGCAGGGGAGAGGCAGAGAGAGGGAGAGAGAGAATCCCAAGCAGGCTCCACACTGTCAGAGCAGAGCCTGACTCAGGACTCCATCTCACAAACCAAACTGTGAAATTATGACCTGAGCCAAAATCCAGAGTCAGACGCCTAACCAGCTGAGCCACCCAGGCACCCCAAGACCCATGTATATTTTAAAATATCACATTATTGTGGGCATTTTTTTCTGTTCATTGTTTGAAGGTGTACAAACCTAGCATGATTCTTTTTGAAGGCTTTAAGATAAAAACAATGAGTCTATGCAGTGTAAAAGTGGTTCAATGACTGTAAAATGATGTGAACCAAGAGAATGTTCCCGCAAACTTAAGCCCATTCATTGGGCTGTTTGCCTTATAGTAAATACGAGCTTTTGCTGGACGGCCCTTTTTTTTTTTTTTTAATTTTTTTTTTTAATGTTTTTATTTATTTTTGAGACAGAGAGAGACAGAGCATGAGTGGGGAAGGGGCAGAGAGAGAGGGAGACACAGAATCTGAGGCAGGCTCCAGGCTCTGAGCTGTCAGCACAGAGCCCGACGCGGGGCTCGAACTCACAGACTGTGAGATCGTGACCCGGGCTGAAGTCAGACGCTCAACTGACTGAGCCACCCAGACGCCCCTGCACGGCCTTTTTGACAATTCTCAGCATGTTTTTCTTCAAGGCACCCCCTTCCTAGGAGAAACCCAATTTCAGTGGTCCCAAGTGGTGTAGTTTTTGTTTGCTCTTTCTCAGGAACAACTCTCAGAACTGCTGTTTTATCACCTTCAAGAGCTACAGGTTACAGAGAGAGTCGTGGTATAAAGTAGGGAAGACTACAGTGAGTCTGGGCAGGATTTGTCTGGTCTGAGGACGGATAAGGCACAGGTGTGACATTCCTAAAGATCCAGAGAGCGTGAGATAATTGTGCAGCATGGGGCAGCAGAAAGAACGCAGAATCTGGATGCCCTGGCTTGAGGCTCAGCTCTGCTTCCTGCCAACTTTGAGACCAAACCAAGCTCCTCAACGTCTAGAAGCTCAGGCTCCTTGCCTAAATGATGGCTATAATGTCTCTGCCTCTTCCCTGTATAAACATAAGGTCTTCCTTACTCAACTCAGATTTCACAGCATGAAGTGGCTGCAGGATGAACAGAAAGAGGAAAACACTTTGGTGTTTTCCTTTGGTAAATCCATGAACAGCAGCCAGTCCTGGAGAATTCTGGAGAATGAAGCTTCTCTGGTGTCTAGTCTAGTCTGATGAGAATGTTGGGTGGATGTCGGTCCCTAAGGAGCTGAGTGTGAAGGAGTCTCGTTATACCTCAAGGAACACAGTTAAACCGAGAATTCAGTTCGTTCTGTCATGAAGGAAAGAATAGCATTTCATATTTCACAGGGTCCAACCCTCTAGAAAAAAATGACAGTGGGAAGACAATGTCAGATCATCACGTATGACCACACCACCAGCACCACCATGGGTAATAATATGCAGAGTACAGTAATATGGTGTTTTCGATGATCATGCCCTACTCCAAGGGTCGTACACATATTGAACGACTTAATCCTCAAGACAATCCTATGAAGGACATTTGCTATTATGATCATCATGATCTCCCTTTTATTCGCATCAGGAAACAAAGGCAACCAAAGGTTAAGAAACTTGGCCCCAGGTCACACAGCTAGCGAGAGAGCCCCTAAGTGTGAACACTGGGGCATGGCCATGTCTGTGACCATCAAACAACAGATACGTAATGCGCAAGGGCCTGACCTCGGAGACAGACACAGCTCAAAAGTCTTGTTGAGGGGACCGACATTAAACACATAACCGCGCATGGGATTATTCTATGTCCTGAACACACGTACGCCATCCATAGTCAACCTTCCTCATGAGCTTTCAAGCCCTCTTTTTTTAAATCATAGATTCACGGGAAAAAGAAAAAAAAATCAGCCTCGACTGAGAATTCCTTTCTAAAAGGCCAAGAACCTCTTTGCAAGGCCTTGAGTCTCCTCATAGTCCTCATGTGCTGTTTCCACGTGAATCTCTGACACTAACCCAGCCCTTCCCTCCTTTGGCTTTCAGCCCGAGACAGTGATGGAGCTGAGGAGGATGTAGCATTAACTTCATATGGTACCCCCATTCAGCTGCAGGTAAATGTGCTCGTCTACAATCACCAAGGAGGGATATAGCAAGCCCACCTTCCACAGGAGAGCTGTCAGGCTTCATTTCCAATGTCTTTACTGACCTGAGAGAGGACAGGCAGGGCAGGCTCGTCCCTCCAAGTCTGTGCAGCTTCAGTCATCCAGATATAATGCCTTTGTCTCTGCCCGAGCCCCTCCAAATCCCCATGGCCCCTCCATTAACGATGTACTCCAATATAGGTGAATGTCGCTGGAAAGAAAAGGCAGCTTGAAGGGTTCCTGTGAGGGTGAAGAGGAGCAAGCTCGCTGCTTTTTGCCTTGGGGACAACAGGGACTTGTGAATATGAATGAGGTCACATCTGCTTTTAGTATCTATCAGTTGTCTAGATGATCCCCTGAGCCCCGCTGGCTGCCTCTCTGAGTCACCGTCTAGCTCCCGCAGCTCAGGCTGCCCCCAAGAACTGGGTTAGGTCCGTCACCACCATCAGCAGATGGGTGTAACCGATTTTAATTCTTTCAGACAAAAGCAGAGGGAGCGCTACTGAGCAGAAGGGGAGGCAACTTGCGTTTGTGCCACGATGGCTTGAGGGCACACAGATGCAGGCAGCCAAAAATACCACACTGGGACACGGTTCTTGTATTTTGATCCCCGTAACTGAAATCTGAGGGTGAAAGTCATGCTCAGATTGTTTGTTTGATGGACCGTACACGGCAACTCTAATCCTAATCCTTCTGGTCTGTTATCTGAGACTTTGCCTTTTCCTGGAATGGCACACAGCCCAGGATACAGATAGATCGTTTGCCGTCATTAACCCTTTGGAGGGCATTTACATGATGAGATCTTTATTATACCTTCTCCAAGAATTTCTTGGATTACTTCGATGTCCAGTGATCAGCTCTTCAAGAATCTTGCAAAAAGATTCTTGTTACTGGCTAAGAAGGAAGATGGTAAAACAAAGTTCTGATGTGGGTAGCCTCAATATTTTTTTTCTTTATCAACAAAGGACTGAATGAAGCTGAAATGGTATTTCAAACGTAGCTCTGGAGAGTATCATCCCTTGTGTTGGCTCAGAAAGTTGACAATGGATTTCTTCTTCTTTTCCAGACTGTTGATCCTGTACAAGAGTGTTTCATCCCACTGCCTAAACCAAGCTCCCAGGAAGACGCAGAAATACAAAGTCCGTAGGAAACATGTGCAGTGAAAACTCAGAAGATCATCCCAATGGAGCCCTGATGGGTTGCTGGGGAGTCCTGAGTCACACTATCAACAGAGTATGGGCTCATCCTTCCTCCCCTGCTTCCTAGCCCATTCCATCCATCTGGGACCCATCATCAGAAGACCACACTCTCAAGCAAAATTACAATCTTGCTGGCCACCCTACCTTGATTATGTGTCTCTTTCTTCCTTTGTGCAACTGAAAGATTCCCTTCCTTAGCAATGCAAAAACAAATTGGCACCTCTTACTAATGGGGCCAGAAGACCTTGGTCTGAAAAAAATAGGGCCATATTAATGTGACAAAATATAGAGGTCCAGGGATGCCTGGGTGGCTCAGTTGGTTAAGCGTCTGGCTCTTGATTTCAGCTCAGGTCACGATCTCATGTTCGTGAGATGAACCCTTGCATCAGGCTCTGCACTGACAGCCAGAGGCCTGCTTAGGATTCTCTCTCTCCCTCTCTCTCTCTCTCTCTCTCGAGGGAGGTCAGTAGCAACTTACTACTAGATTGATCCTCTAGTCATGTTTTATAAAGGGACCCTAAATGAGTAACCCAGAATTTGCAACAAAAATTATAGCAAAATCCTTGGGATCCCCACAATTGGGTATACTAAATAACACAGACATTTCATGGGCTTGCAAGCTGGCAGCAAACTGGCAGCTTCCTCCCATGGTTTTAGCACCCCATGACAGCGAGTATGGTGGCAGATGTGGCTGAGGTCAGTGACCTGCTTTGATGAACCACTAAGAGCAAAGGAAGAACCACCCTAGTTGATGCTTATAAAGGATTTTAGGCGGTGCATATAAAAAACAGAGTCTGCCTGTCTTGATGTTTCTAATGGACTGATGCCTCTGCATTAATTACTTTGACTACATTCCTCCTACAGCTCCACATCCTTCCTGATGGATTCTTCTATTCTTAACACCCATTTGTTGTACATAACAGGTATAACAGGACCAGAGGTGTGCCACCAGAAAACAGAACCTTAGAGAAAAAGAAAGACTTGCCCAAAGTCACACAGTAGTTAGTGGTGGGCCAGGTCTTTCGACTCACAGGCCACCCCTCTTCCCGTTGTATACGGCTTCTCCATGCCTGTATTTCTGTATTAACAAGTAAGCGTGGACCCCCTGAGAACCAAATGTGATATCTCAGACCAGTGAGTGTTGAGGGCCTCCTATGTGAAAGCAATTTGAAGGATAGCTAAGACTCCATACATGAAAAAGAGCCTTTTTAGTAAGCAACATACAGCGTGAACTGCTCAAGATCACCAAGTATTTCCTAAGCACCTGCAAGAATAGGAACTGTTCTTGGATTGAGCCCTAAGCAGATAAGGCAGACAATGTTGCTTTGGCGGAGTTTATGATTTTTGTAGAGGAGATAACACAACGCAGAGAATTTCAGGATCACAGCTCCCTCCTTTTACAGACAAGGAAAGGGACTTGGCCACAATAACATGGCTTGCCAGCGGCAGAATTGACTAGAATCCAGGTTCCCCAGCTACGGTTCAAGGGCTTGCTCACCCTCTGCACAATGTTCCAACATGTCATATATTTTTCTGTTGCCCTCAGATAGCTGGTCCTTTTTGAAATCTGTGCCCTGAGCAATGTTCTCAAAACAAACAAGTATGTAGGTAAATGACCAAAGAGTGTTGCCCTCTGCTTTTATCGGTAATAAAAAATTGAGGGAAAATGTTTAAACGTGAAGACTCAGACCTATTGATGAGATGCTATTTAACAAACCATGTAAAGAACCCAACTCGAGGGATAAACAAGCCACAACCTTACATCTGCTCTGGAAGAAAATCATCATCATTGATCCTCCTAGTTTTTATCCTCAAAATGATGACAGTGGCATCTTCAACATAATTCTGTCTTGTTGTGTTGTTTGGTTGGTTTGGCAGATGTTTCTGTTGAGTTGGCCAACCCATTTTAATAATAAGCCCATTCAAACCGTATGTGGTGGCTAATATTGTTTCCCAAAATGTCTTTCTTAAAATTAGTAAAAGTAAAATTGAACATCTTTGTACCAAATTTTGGACTACGTGTTAGTTAGATTTGGGGGGTGGGGGTTCTACGGTGGCAAGTGCCTCATTCAGGCTGTTTCAGGAATGGCGTTGGATTGTGAGGTTACATATGGCAGCAGGGAGACAAAACTCTCTGAGAGCAGATATAGCCACTCAGCCAGCTTCGTGGAGATGGAATACTGTCAGGCATTGGTAGGAGATTGTTGTCCCCACCTCAGCCCTGAAATGCCCCTCAGCCATTTTGATAATTTCCTCCCTGTCTCCTTTTGAGGTGTTTTCATGTATCCACCCACTATGGGCTGACTGGTTCTCTCCCCAAGTATCATATTCAGATTCCTGAAAGGAAGTCTGAGCGGTCCAACTAATCATCATTGCTTCTGACAGGGAGCTCTTTAGAAGTGGCCCTCCTCTTAATTTACAGTCAGCTTCTAGACTGCCAGCCCGTGGGTCTCGTAACCATCCTTGGTCCATTCAGCTGTGCCTGCCTTTGTCATGTGGGACAGACTTGGTCACATATGTCTGCTCCCTCAGCAAGAAGCTGTGGGCAGGAAATTCGCCTCCAGGCAGCAAGGCATAGCATGCACCATGAGTGGCCAACACAGGAGAGATTAATCCAGAAAAGTATGAGTTTATGAAGTTAAAGAATATTTTAATGAAAGTACAATTTCATTTCTTTAAAGTTAATGCAGCAATTCACATAAAGCTAAAAACCCCAATAGCCTTCTAAGTCAAGATCCATGAGGAACCACTTAAAAAAAAAATGATAAAACTATTTATGATTACCATATTGTACTCAATTAGTCAATTCAACAGGTATTATGTGAAGATTTAAACTCATTTACTTATATGTACCAGGTTGTATCATTTAAAAGGTGCTTATTCTCGGGGCGCCTGGGTGGCGCAGTCGGTTAAGCGTCCGACTTCAGCTCAGGTCACGATCTCACAGTCTGTGAGTTCGAGCCCCGCATCGGGCTCTGGGCTGATGGCTCAGAGCCTGGAGCCTGCTTCCGATTCTGTGTCTCCCTCTCTCTCTGCCCCTCCCCCGTTCATGCTCTGTCTCTCTCTGTCTCAAAAATAAATAAACGTTAAAAAAAAAAATTTTAAAAGGTGCTTATTCTCATACGTATTTTAGATAATCCTCTGCTGACTTTATCCAGAAGAAAGGGTATTGCTGAAAAACTTTGTTATAAAATATCTCCCTGGTATAATGTGGCTGGTTAGCTCAGTTAGAGCATGATGCTAATAAAATACCTGCCAAGTAGAGTTAATATATCCTTCATTTTGATGATTTTTCCTGACCTAAAGATCATCAAAGATTTGTTTCCCTCCACATTAGATTTCATGCTCTCCCCGTAAGCTTAAAGGCTTCCAGTTAGCATGCCTTATTTCAAGCTGTGGTCTCATCAGGCTAAATTCTCTCACGCCCTCTACCATTATTCCTTCTTCTCCTTTTATTGTTTTTTTATTTTTATTTATTTTTTAGAGAGAGATGGCACAAATGGGGGAGAGGGGCAGAGGGAGAGAGAGCACGGAACCCCCTGCGGCGCTCAATCCCATGACCCTGTGATCATGACCTGAGCCGAAATCAAGAGTCTGATGCTCAACTGACTGAGCCACCCAGGTGCCCTTCTTCTCTCTTCTTTTAAACAGATGACCCCTCTTTCCAGGATTCTTTCTCCTTCAGATTGGCCAGATTCATGCCTTGTTATCCTCTTTTTCTCCTCCCACAATCAGTTCCAAGTTTACCTTTTCCCAGAAGCTTTCTCTGATAATATAAGGACCCAGGGGTGTCACATACCAAGCCCTTAAGTTGTGGCAGGATGAAGTTCTCTTTTTGCCTCAAGCTCAGATGGTAAAGAAGATATTTCTGTAGCATCTTCCTCAGATTAAGCCTACTCATCTCCTTTATAAGCACACAATTGATGAGCAATAAACTGGAAAACGTATGTGTGCTTCCTTGGTACAAAAGCCTCTGTATTTTTCGCGAGAAGAAGGCGCTTCTCAATTAACATTCAACGGGGGCAATCGTGAAGACCTCGACTTCTAAGGAGACATGCTTGACATCCCAGACATCTCCTTGGAGTCATCAAAAATGTCTTGATGGCTCAAGCCAGTTTTAAGCTCCCGGTCTTCTGTGAGAGATCATACTGGCTGCCTTTCACAGACAGATGAGTTAAAATTAAGTTTGCATTTTAACACGTATCAGAATTTATTTATTCAAAGGGCTTCAAAGTGGAGGACTCAGGAAGCATGAGGATGCATCCACTGCTGACAACGTTATTAGAATGCTTTTCCTGGAACAGCTTTCAAGAAAGTCTCAAGAAAATCAGTGTGATTGGGTTACTGTGATAGTCCAGCTGTCAGATCGGAGAGGTGAGTTGAATGAGGAATTTCCAATATTGATCTCATCCGTCACTCAAAGAACTACCAAGTACGCTTCGGAAATGCCACTGGATATCTTTCTGGATTTTTCTAAAGAGAGTGGAACTATTAGAACTCAAGCCACATTTAATCAGTAGATAAATCAAATCCGGGTTTGGAAACGTTGCACCAGATCTGCAACAGGATGAATCCTCTAGGCAGACTGTTTTTTTAATATGAAAAGTAAGCAGATCTTATTGACTTTTATATGTTCTCGGAGAAAAACATTCACATGTACAAGATTGGCATTTGATATGAGATGTGTTCGCACTTTATTTTACACAAGTCCTTTCATTTCAGGTCAGACATAATTTTTCATTTCGACAGGACTTTCACATGATTATAGTCACAAGCTCTTGAGATAACTATGTGTCATCATAGGGCTCAAGATAAACTAAATTGGTAGGGATTTCAGTCATATCTGTTATTGCCCAATTACTATAGGATAATGGAGTACACCCAGTAAAGCAGATACAGAGGAAGCTATCCATAAAAAAGGTGTAAAACACAGGGAAAGAAAATAAAT